CTGAACAACAGTTCCTGGATTAGAATGTTGGAGCGCTGTCATGAAACGGGGCAATTCGAAATATGACTTTTCCCAACCGCCAAATATTTGTGCTATGGCCTTTTGCTTCCCCATCCATGTTCTCCGGTAAGATACCGTATACCCATATTTTTCCTTCAACATCTCGATGATAGTATGCACTTTAAGAGAAGGATCAGTGCGAATAATGTCAACCACATCTTTACAGATGAATTCTGATGTCAAGGCCACGTGATCTGTAGTGTCGATGTTGCCTACACAAGAAGCAGAATGAGGTCCAGAATAACGCACAATTGTGAAGGTGTCAAGGTTGCCTTTGTTCTTTGTGGCACGTATTCTCCAGGGGCAATGACATTCTTTCTTCCTTTTGCATTGTGCCACCCATTTGTGTTTATCGGACTCTATCACCCGATAGAATTGGTTCCGTTTGATAGAATACAAGCTCACCATATTGATGACTTGTTCTTTGTTGTCAAACTGTTGACCGACCTCAAACTCACCATCGGGGGTAAACCTTTTCTCACCTGATCCACTCATCCACGCATCAGTAAAACCTTCAGGGAGATCATACATTCTTGTGAAGTGGCTAGACGGGGCAGTTGATGTCACAGTATCACCATCATCTTCATCAGATTCTGTCATGTCGTCACCATTGATGTTCTCGTCTGCATCATCATCACTTCCCTGCCCATCCACAAATGATGCACCGTTGTGCAAATACCTGCCATCCTCCTGTATAACCATGTCTAGTACAGGAACCTTTGACGACTTCCGTGCATTCACCCCTGCAATGACATCATGCCTGGATACAACAGCATGTGATGTTGATTGAGTACCATAAGTGTCACAGGATTCCTCAATGTATATCTCCAGCGTTGACATATCCTCCATCTGAATTATGCCCCACATATTTGTTATAGCTAGCTCATCAATGAGCGGCATAAGCATGTACTTTCCCCCGTTCATGGGAAATTTCATTTTCAACCGCAATGAACGGTCGGGATGAATCATTGTGGCTGCATGTAATTTTTGAAGGATCTCGAGCATGCAAGCGCCACGAGAAACCATGACAAAGCTCGTTCTGCCACCTTCATGGCATATTTGCCCACCATTCTCATAATAGTTCCCTCCCCAATGACACACGAGTGGGAAGCTTGAGAAATCCATATTCTAATAACAATTCATTGTCCAACATTCATGAGTAGGCATCAATATACACACTTTATACACATTCACATTTTTAATAGAAATTGCTTCCAAAATTGTAATATATCATTAACTCCAAATTCACAAACAATTCACATTTCAATAACAAACTACCCAAATTTTGATATCTACCCAAATTTAGGTACATTCAACTATACCCAAATGCCCAAATGTCAAAATACACATTACAATTTACAAACAATTTAAAATCAAATTTCAACATTTCATACATATCCACATTTCACAACAACTTCATTCACAATCAATTCATAATCCCAAAATTAAAAAAAATTAACATTCTAAACCCTAAGTGCAAAATTATATGAAATGGATTTGGATTTACCTAGAATAAGGAGTAAAGAGTGTTGAAGATGAAGATGGAGGTTTTCCGGAGTGGGGTCGCCGGAGATGGAGGTTCGCCGGAGTTAGAAGTGGCTCGGTCGTCTTCGTCCTTCGTCCGTTCGTCGCTGCGGGTTGGGGGTTTTGGGAAATGTTTTACGCACAGTTCTGTTTTGGGGTCTGGCCGCTGAATTTACTTAAGGGTAAGTCGCCAAACCGTTTGGCGACTTATAAGTCGCCCAACCGTTGGGCGACTTACCCCCGACCATGGTTAACCCAGCAGTATTTTGGTAAATACTTTTAACCCAACCCTATTTTCGTAATTAATTAACATTAATACGGAAAAAAAACTCAAAATATGAGGGGTGGACCGGTTCCGGTTCGGGCCCGGTTCGGGCCTGGGCCCGGCCGGGCCTCGGTTCAGAAAAAGGAGGCCCGAGCCCGAACCGGTGGTGGGCGGTTCCGGTTCCGGGCCAGAACCGGGCCGGGCCGGGCCACCCGGAATGTTTTTTTTTTCTTCTTCTTCTCTTATTTAACCCCCTACCCCTCCCCCTCCACCCCAAACCACCTCAAATGGCCCAAAATACCTAATCCAACCCAAAACTTAAAAAAATTTCAAAAAAAAAAAAAAAAAATCCGGCCCGAACCGGGCCGGGCCGGGCCGGGCCGGTTCACTAAACTGGAGGCCCGGGCCCGGGCCGGGCCGGTTCACTAAACTGGAGGCCCGGGCCCGGACCGGTATACCACCGGGCCGGGAGGCCCGAACCGGAACCGAACCGGTTTACCGGGCCGGTCCGGGCCCGCACAGTAGCGGGCCGGTCCAGTGCCGGGCCGGTTGGCCCGGCCCGAGTCCATTTCTTTAAATATCTGGTAGCTTTTAGGCCGGCCAAATGACCAACAAAATTGATTTAAAAAAGAGGATGGTTTACCAAATTAGTAATAAAAAATTTCCGGAGACAAATTGGATAAAAAACGAAGCTGCTGTGACAAATTGGTCAAATTTGTGTGAGTGGTTTTTTGTCCCCGAATTTAGAATTTATGACATTTAATTGATCTCCTAAATATTGTAAAATTGATATTTCCAGTTTTTCTAATTTGATTTTATCATGAAAAGCGGATGACCAAAGAATGTCAACTAGGGTGTTTGCAATTGGCGCTTGGCTACTAGCTGATAGTCTATTGAATCAGCAAATTGATACTAATAGATAATGTTAGATGTTTTAAGTTTTAACCATCCGCTTTCATTAGCGGTTTGAAGTAAAATGTTGAGTAATTTAAATGTTTGTAGTTAGCTAAACATGTAAATGACTATTACGAATTTGAATTTTAAATTATATTTATTTTTAAATATAAATTTAACTTAAATCAATTTCTTTTATTTTTAATAAGTTTTTAGAAAAAGTTTTGATTTTTTTTATATACCTTCTACCGCTATCATTTGTAATACATGTACATTTAATATAGCACATACATAGCCAAACATCTCCTGGTCTGATGGCATCACGGCCATCACCGTGGCAATCTCAAGGAGGAGGTCATAGCTCATAGGTTCGAATCTCATCCCAGTTCAAGGGTGTTGGCATTAATATTGAGCAGATACTATATAGGTTAGAAAGAATTGTATAAAAAATAGCACATACATATGAATTCATTTATTTTTAGTATCAATATTATAATTATGACTATTTTGTAATTTTTTAAAGATGTTACTCCATGTACAATAGAAAAAAAATCATACTATAAAATAGTAAAAATATTCATAATGATTTATGAAGTAGAATTTTTTAAATACTAGTAGAATTGTTGGTACTCACAAAAATTGACCAATTTGTCACCAGAGCTTTATTTTTTTACCAATTTGTCTCCGGAGGATTTGTTTTGCGAATTAGCTAAACTATCCTCTCTTTTATTACCGATTTGGTAAATAAAAGAGAGGATAGTTTCAATGTGACTGCTATATGTATAACATTGCTAATCTTTAGTTGCTGTGAAATTATTACGTATAGAAATGATAATTATTGATGACTCCGTATAATCTAACCACAATTTTTAGATTGAAATTACATATGTGATTTTTGCAGTATCCTGATTTATGATTGGTTATTATTTATCGTTGGACTTCAATAACTCTAATCAACTGGTGTCTGGTAATATGAGAAACATGTTACTTTAAAATCAAACTTATAGTTAAATTTTAGTCATAAAAATGGAGTTTTTCCTCCTTTAGTCTATGAGATAACACTTTGTTCCAATTTAGCATGTTAAGATCACTTCGATGTTAAGATTTTGTTCAAATTTAAGATGGAACAAAAATTGTCATTATTTCACTAGTTGATTTACTCCAAACCGTCGAGACAAAAAAAAAAGCATTTACCAAACTTAGTTACTTGACATTTATTAGCGCTTCTATACAGCCTTATATACGAAGTATAATGCATACTAGCATATCAGCAAAATAAGCAGAACAAGAAAAACCACACACACATCCACTTATTTGGTTGTAAACTTGTAAAAGTTTTTATCATAATGTTTCTTATCTTATAAATTAACACCAGCTCATTTCTTATCTTATATCAGCTCATTTCACCAGCTCTTTGATACTGAGAACTCACAAGTGACAAGTCCAGCAAAGCGTAGTTTGAGAACTTTTACCGTCTCCAAAAAGGGTAAAAAAGGTTTCTTGGCATTATGAGTATGCTTCCTTGGTATCCAGTGGAATCAGATAGAAACAGAGCATGGAGAAGACATCCATTGGTAGCTAGATACATCATGCTTCTGTATGTACAAATATTTGCTTCTCTTACTATCACACTTTTTAATTACCTACCCCAGTAAAACCTTCTACATGTACTGTAAGCATGAAGCCTTCCATGAAGAAGTGCAAAGGGGCATTTCCTCTTCTCTCAACTAAGAATGCTGGGATGCCCAGTCTGAAGCATCCTCTTGAAGATTTCCATCCCAAATGCGGAATCTGATGCACTAAATAAGGGAACACATGCGTTTCAGATAAAATTTGTTACATTTAGCAAGAAAAGAGTGAAAATTTACATTATTTCAAATGATTGGAATGACTCAACCTCCTTCCAATTAATCTCTAACAATAACGTTATGTTAGGTCAGTTGTGATGGCTAAAGACAAGTATATTGTTCATATGAGTCGATTATGGTTAGTCTGATGAGCAGTTTTTATGGGTCAAGTGTATTTCTTGATAAAAGATTTTATCTTAATTTTTAAATGAAAGACTAACATAATAAGTGATCATGGTCCTATTTAAAAACATTCTATCCATTAAGATAGACTAAGCCCTCTATAATGTTCCCCGCCAAAATTTATGTCATAAAGGACCCTTGGCAACCTGGAACCTACACGTTATCATAGACAGTCCAGAAATACACTTCAGCAAATGAACAAAGTTAAAGAAACATGGAATGAACTGATTAGATTGGTTTATCAGAGAACTAACATATATAAATTTACAATGAAAGAGCAAAGAATTTACATAATGGTTAACAATAACAACTTCCAGACACAAAGGAGGAAAAAGAAGTAAATAATTATACACAAACTTTCACATGAACAGACAAACAAACCATAAAAAAGGCAGCCCGGTGCATGAAGGCATCCCTGCAAGGTAAGGGTCCGGGGTAGGGTCCCACTGCAAGGGTGTACAAGGGGCAAACCTTTCCCCTTATCAAATTTTGACAAATGGCCGCTCCCAAAAGTTGAACCCATGACCTCTCACTCACACAACACTTTAGCCGGTGCACCAAGGCTTTCCTTTGAATAGACAAACAAAGCATAAATAAAAAAAAAATTACCTTGAGATAGTGATCTCATAGGGAAATGAGACACCCTCAAGATTTGGTACCGAGGGTACATGGTCCTTTTTTTCATTTACAAATTTGATAATCTGAAACATAACTTCGCGGAGAGACAACTCCAGTGCCGCCCTCCGAGCATTCCTCTCCTCACATGCGCTTTCTGCAAAAGTTTCAGATATAAAGAAAACAAATATAAAACCCCAATCCCTTTATTAAGCACTTTCATAAAGAAATCTTTCCATGTTGTAAATCTCTCTTAATTCACAATACCTCCAGGATCAACTACCGCTTTGGACGGATGAGATTTGTTAGAATGTGCTTTTGGGGGGTGCTGAGCTACATTCAGGTTGATGTACCACTGTTCCCAGTATAGGCGTTCAACTTTGTTTGTAAACCAAGTCGCTTGCTTGTTCTTCACTTCATAGAATGATAAACAAATCTGCAGTATTAAAAACACATTTGTTTAAAAATAATAAGAGATGAGACACATGACTGACCACACCATGGTATGAAATGTGCAACATAATGACATAAATAGTAGAGTATGTGTGCCGAGTGGACACAACTATATTCACATATCACTTTTAAACATATACCTCATTTTTCTTGTTGGGGTACTTTTCCACCCTTTCAATGAAGTGATTAATCTTTTCATCTATTTTTTTCTCAACCTCAGCATCATCACATTGGACCTGTGAGAGTTTAAAATAAACAAAGCTATATCAAATGTCAGCCACTTAGGAAAACTCCAAACCGAAACAATCACTCAAAGAGTACAAGTCTTTAACAAACATTACTATTTTCAAGCAGCAAAATTGAATTTCCATTCACGTTAAAGATAAAACAAACACATATGACAGATCCTTACGGACAAGGAATGAGTAATCACCCAATACTTACATATGTAATGTCAAAGAGTTCCAAATCAATGTCCTTTGGTCGAACAAGACCTAATGCTCTGTGGAAAAAAATTGTGTGCAAAATACCTGCATACGTTTTCAACATTGAAGCTTCAATCTCCGAGTTAAGAAAAGTCGATTTCCAATTTAGTACTTTTCCAGCATGGAACACCAAAACTACAACATGGTGCCATTGTACGAGTACATTTTTTAGTGATGAGATAACTACATTTTCTCTTGGTAAAAATATACCGAATTCCCTTTTCTCCATCAGAGGAAAAAAGAGAAAAAAACAAATCTTCAGCTTCCGTATCTTATAACTCTGGAATGTGTCCAAACTAAATGAAAACTAATACCAACAAATACAAAACTTGGTAAAACAACTAATTGGTCTGCTTGTATAGAGAGGTGAACCTGGGTTTTAAATTTATGGGAATCTTCGAAAATATTAAATAATCCAGTTTTGTAGAAACTCAAACTTTGAAGTTTTATCAAGTTAAGTTATTTTTTAACTAATTGTAGTATGTTCAATAGCTCTAGTTTTACCCAAACAAATATTTACTGCATTAATTTGGGATAACCTAATAATTGCTCAAACAGCACATTTATATATGCACCAGTGTAAAAAAAATATGCACCAGTGTTTACGAGGAGCTTATGTTTCCAAATACACTCTTTATATATTCATGGAATTTGAGTAATAATGGCCTTTAGTTAAATTCCTGATAAACGAAAACAAGACAAACTATAAAACTAGCTAAATTAAACAAGCTACTCACATTGCAGAACCTCTCGTATCTCAAAGTGTTCCACGTCCTGCAAATGAAAGCCGAGCAATGATACTTCGCATATGCTTGAAACAATATTAATTTCGCTGAGATTCGTATGATGTATGAGTCAAAAGGACGAGGAGGCGATGGCGTGGGCTTACCAAATCTTTCAGTCGGAAATCGATGCAATTCATAGCGATTGTATGAAGATGGAAGATGATCGAATATGCGGACCCTAAACAAACCCGAATTAGCTTAGCGCCTCAAAGTAGGATAACTAATACTCCCTCCGTCCCTAATAACTTTGCCAAGTTTGACCGGCACGGGGATTAATAAAGTAAAAACTGTGTGGTTGAGGTTTGTGCAGAGGAGAGAGAATTAACTGGAACCACAAATTCTTTACTTAAATGGGAAAGTGGCAAAGTTAATGGGACATCCAAAAAAGGAAAGTTGGCAAAGTTATAAGGGACGGAGGGAGTACTCGTCAAATTTCCTTTGCCTTTCGGTTTTTTTACCTATATTCAGCAAAAAGACAAAAAGAAAACTTTCAGCTTACCCTTATTCTGAGCCCGTTTGGAGACCCCTTTTTTCGGCTTATCAGGCTTATCAGTCAGCTTTTTCACCAAACACGTAATTTTTACTTTCGCGTGCTGAATTGTGTAATAAGCAGAAAAGTAAGGTTGGAGTTACTTTTCTGGCTGTATTGGCTGAAGTTACTGTAGATGACCTTTTTAGCTATTTTTACATGTAATTTTTTCTTTATTTTATTAATAAAATATATTTTTGAAATATTTTTTTCTAGAATCAGCAGAATCAGCCAAAACAGCCACTTCAGCCAGAACTTCATAAATTTCAGCAGAAACAGCCAAAACAGCCGATTTTCATGCTACCAAACGGGCTCTCTATGACTAATGCTGAAAGACTGAAAGTGAAAGGAGAATTATCCTCAATCTCACTTTGGGTTTTTAAGAGTGTAAGTTCTGACGTTTAGGATGTAGTATGGTCTCATCTGGTCTCATTTGGTCTGGTTTCTTTGTATTTTTATAACTACTCAAGTTTGGTCTAGACTGATCTAGTCTGATCTAGTCTGGTCTGGGAAAAATTACAGTCCAAGTTAAAACATCCTTAGTACACAACACTAAAATTAACTTTGATTTTAAGATTTATCAATCCTTACTCTTGACAATAGAAGAGTGGTACAATTATTAGGAAAAATGAGTTTATTTCATTGATATTGAATTGATAAAATAAAAATAAAGTAAAAATGATTTAAAGTCACACAAATTTTACGAAGGAGATGTTTGGATCTGATTCTTGAAATTTGCTTCTGCACCTTCACGAAGCAAATCAGAAGTTAGAGTTTTTGTGTGAAAGTGAAGAAGTAATTCTGATGCTCTAATTTACTCCAATAAGTGGGTGTTTATAGAAGCTGAAGGAGAGCAGCTTCTAAAAACTGATTTTAATTCTGCTTTAAAAAAGAAGCAGAAGCAGAATCAGTTTCAAACACCCCTTAAATTTAGTATGAGACAATCTTAGTGAGATTTCTCGAAATGAAAAATAGGACAATCTTAGCAGGAAATATGGAATAATTTTTACCAAACATATGAAGTAACTGCTAATTCCGTAGGTTAGATTATGTAATAATCAAAACACGTATGATTGAAGTTACTTTTCTAGCTAAATCGGCTGAAGTTACTTTAGAAGATCATTTTAGTTATAAATCGATTTATTCTAGCTGAAGTAGTCAAATTTGCTAATTCTACTTATTTATGAATGTTGGGCCGCTCGTATTGGGCTAATTACCAAACACAAGTCCCCTCTTCTTTTCTCAATGTCCGGTTTTCGGAGCCTGGTATAGACCTTCATCATTCTTTGAGGTTTGCCATGGATCCTCTTCGTTCTCTGGAGTCCTATATCAATCTGCGCTCTTCGGGGGAGACCGAGTCATCATATAGAGATGAATCAGTCGCCATTGCTCTGGAACACGTTGATGATGCGGCAACCCAAGATAATGTTGAATAATACCAAAATACCCTTGGTCATAAAAACTATAAATACATGTAATGTGCTGCATATGAATAAGAGATTCTTTTCCAGATTTGTTAATCGAGCTTTTTATCTCTCTTATAGACTTTCTGTTAAGTTTGTTATTGCTCTAACAAATTGGTATCAGAGCGAGGCTCAAGGAACAAAGAGAACGATTTTGAAGACGAAGAGAATTCATGGCGATGAATAATTTGGTTTCAAATCTGCCGATTCTGGACGGTAAGAACTGGCATAGATGGTCTACTCAGATGAAGGTCATCTTTGGTTATCAAGAAGTTAGTGAGATTGTTGACGATGGATACCCTATGATCACCGAAGAATCAACAGACGCTCAACAGATTGCATATAAAGAAAACAAGAAGAATGATTGCAAGGCGATGTGTCTACTTCACCAATGTCTTGATGATGCTCATTTTGAGAAGATCGCTAACACATCTCTACTCATGAGGCCTGGAAAATTCCGGAACAGTGTAACGAAGGTGAAGAACAGTTGAAGAGAGTAAGACTCTAGAACTTGAGTAGAAAATACGAACTACTGCGGATGGAGGAGAATGAAAATGTGGCAAGCTTTATCAATCGAGTTGTCGCCCTGACTAATGCTATGAAGAAATGTGGGGAAACAATGATTGAGCAGAAAATTGTGGAAAAGGTACTAAGAACTCTCACTCCTAATTTCGATTATATCTCTGTGGCAATAGAAGAGGCGAAGGATCTTACTACTCTGAAATTGCAACAACTGCAAGGCTCTCTTGAAGCCTATGAACAACGATTGTTGGAAAGAAAGGTAGAAAAACCTATTGATCAAGCTCTCCAAGTTCAATTTACTGACACGAGTGAATACAGCAGAGGTGGATTTCGAGGAAGAGGGAGAGGCAGATCTAATAGAGGAGGCTATGCTGGCAGAAATACGTTTACTCAAGATCAAGAACAACCTGAAACATCTTCTAAAAGAGGTGGTTTAAACCAATCCAATAGAGGCAGGAAGAGAATTGATAGAAGGAAGATTAGGTGCTTTAACTGTAATAAAGTGGGTCACTTCTCTAATGAATGCAAAGCACCTAGTCAAGAGGAGTATTATGATGTAGATAGACAAACAAATGAGGCAAACCTTGCTGAAGATGACAAGGAGACAGATGAAGAACCAGTTACACTGATGATGACCACTTTTATGGAAGAAAGTAATTCAGATGTTTGGTACTTGGACTCTGGCTGTTCAAATCATATGACTGGCTAGAAAAGGTGGCTTATTAATTTTGATGCATCTAAAAAGAGTAAAGTAAGGTTTGCGGATGAAAGACTGATTTGTGTTGAAGGCACATGAGATGTGTTGTTTAGGAAAAAGGATGGTAGTGAAGCATTCATCTGTGAAGTCTTATATGTACCTGGGATGAAGAGCAATCTTCTTAGCATTGGGCAATTGCTTGAGAAAGGCTTCACAATTCATATGGAGAAGGGAACCCTAGATGCTTATGATCCTCAGAAGAAAAGGGTTTTTAAAGTATCAGTGTCAAACAATAGAACATTTCAGGTTCAAATTGCTGCTTTGGAAACTCAATGTCTTGCAACTGAAACTCGTGATCATTCCTGGCTATGGCACTACCGATATGGACATTTGAATTTCAGGGACTTGAACAAATTATACAATCAAGGTATGGTTCACGGCTTGCCTCCTATAAAGCTGTCTAATACACCGTGTGATAAGTGTGTGATTAGTAAGCAGGCTAGAGGATTTTTTTCTGCATTTGTTCCTTCTAGAGCTACTATATTATTACATGTAGTCTTTTGACTCTTTTCAGATGTTTGTGGACCTTTTGAGACTGAATCTCTAGGAGGAAATAGATACTTTATCTCGTTTAATTTGTTGACGAGTTTAGCAGAAAAATGTGGGTATATTTACTCAAAGTAAAGAGTGAAGTATCTGATACAATCAAGACTTTTAAGACTTTTGTTGAAAAGCAATCTGGTTATAATCTTAAAATATTCAGAACTGATGGAGGTGGAGAGTTTTGTTCTAAAGAACTTGAACAGTTTTTTAGTAATAATGGAATAATTCATGAAATTACAGCTCCTTATACTCCTCAGCATAATGGAATTGCTGATAGAAGAAATAGAACTATACTTAATATGGTGAGGAGTATGATTAAAGGAAAGAATCTTCCACATTATCTTTGGGTGAGGCTGTATCTACTGCAGTCTATATTCTGTATAGATCACCTACCAAAAGATTGAGTCATCAAGTTCCTGAGGAGGTTTGGTCTGGGCAGAAGCCATCAATTAATCATTTGAGAATTTTTGGGTGTTTATGCTATAAGCATACCCCAGATCAAACAAGAAAGAAGCTAGATAACAAGAGTGAATCTATGGTGTTTGTAGGATATAACTCTACTGGCTCTTACAGGTTGTATAATCCAAGATCAAAGAAGATTGAATACAGCAGAGATGTGGTATTTGATGAATGAGGATACTGGAAATGTGATTCTGATGTCTCCAACATACCACAAGCAAGATTTGAAGTTGACTGTGAAGGGAATGATACTTATCAAGATGAGTCCAATAATTCTGGTGACAACACATATGACAGAGTCATAACTCATAGATCAACAAGAACAAGAACTCTTCCACACAGGCTGCAAGATTATGAAATGCTGAGAGATAATGAGATCAATGCTGAAGGTGACCCTATCTATTTGGCATTGCTAACCAGTTTGGACTCTGTTGAATTTGAAGAAGCAATAAAACAAAAAGTCTGGATTGATGTTATGAAGGAGGAACTGCAATCCATTGAGAAAAATTAAGTATGGGAGCTCACTGAGTTACCTAAAGACAAAGAAGCAATTCCTGTTAAGTGGGTTTTTAAAGTAAGAACTCATACAGATGAATCAGTTGCAAATTATAAGGCTCGTTTGGAGGCCAAAGGGTTTATACAAAAAACTTGGAATTGATTACTCTGAGGTGTTTGCACCGGTAGCCAGGTTTGAAACAATAAGGGTGATTATAACAATTGCTAGTTACAGAAATTGGCATCTTTGGTATCTTGATGTCAAATCTACTTTCTTGAATGGATCATTAGAAGAATTAGTCTACATTCTTCAACCTCCAGGATTTGAAGTTAAAGGCTCAGAGGACAAGGTCTTGAGATTGAAAAAGGCTTTATATGGCCTAAAACAAGCACCTAGAGTATGGAATAAGAGAATTGATTGTTTTTCGGAAGGGAGTTGGATTCAGAAAATGTACCGTAGAACATGTAGTTTATGTTCTGGATGATG